GAATGATACAATTGTTCAAAGATATTTGCTATATTTTTAAAATTTAGCAAAAAATTTTAAGGTCAAATTTTGTTATTATGGAAAAAGTATATTCAGCAAATTTTGGATGAGAAATGAAGAATATTAAAATGTTTGTATGGAAATCGTGGAAATTTAGGATTGAAATTAGGAAAGAAAGAAACAATGAAATAATATTATTAATACAAAAAAAAGCGACGAAACGTTTTGGTCGCCTGCCAATAAAAAAGGTGATGAAACGTTTTGGTCGCTTTATAGGCGACGAAACGCCAAAAGAGGGATTCCCTGGCGACGAAAAACGTTTCGTCGCTAACGCAGCGACGAAAACGTGGTTTCGTCGCTGAAACCGTTCAGCGACACGGAATCAGTGACGAAACTAGCGACGTAGTCCATTTCGTCGCTGAAAAACGTCAGCGACGAAATTTAGGCTTCAGCGACTAAAAATTTTCGTCGCTGAATGTCTAGAATTTTGTAGTGTAAAAGAGAAAAACATACTGAACCATAAAGAATATTCAAGTTTTGGTGAGAAAAAATTGGGAGAAATAGTAAGAAAAAACTCTTTATATAGTGAAGATAAAGAATTACGAAACTTGTGAAATTCCTTACTAATTATAATTAAAAATAAGTTATAATTTTAAAATTAATTCATAGAAACAAATAGATAAAACTATATATATTCTAACCCTTTATATTCTAAAATTTGACATGATTAAGTGAGAGAAGATTAATTTGAAAAAAGTGGAATTTGTAAAGTTGAATATAAAATATTTTTAAAGAAAATGAAAAAAGAAATAGAAATTCGAGGAAGTGACGTGGGAGAAAGAGAGGGAGAGCATGAGAGACAAAATTTATATTTGAAGGAAAAAATTGCCACAAAATAAATTAAAATGACAAAATAGGAAGAAAAAGTTTTTTTCTATACCCCTTCTATGTATAGTATGGATCATGAATGTTATTTTTTTAAAAATTAAACTTTTTTCTTGTCATAAAATGTCTTTTATAAAAATTTAATTACTCAAACTTAGTTTTTAAAAATTCTTGACCAGTGAGAATTTTCGGAAGGAAACATTTCTTCTTTTTTTCTTTTTTAAATATTTATTTGCTAAACATAAATTTTGTCATGACAAAAAGGTAAAATAATTTTGTATTGGTATTTCAATTACTTTTTCAAACCAAGCAGGAGGATAAACGATACACAATTTTATTAGGAAATATATTAAAAATCAAATTTTGGCCTCCCAAGATATTGATCTTTACCCTTACAAATCAAGAACATTGGCCTCCCCAAATATTTCGAGGGTTCATGTCGGAAGTTTCCTTATGAATTTTTAAATTAAAAATCTCCACCAAATAATATCACAATGAAATTGACATAATATATACACATTTGTCAAGTATTATATACATAATCGAAATAAACGTGATAGAAAATCAAATCAATCAAATATGATGTTACAAGAAACAAAAGAAAAAACAAAACAAGGAGCGTACCTCAAAAATAATGTTCGAAAGAATTAAACTCGTACTTAGAACAAAGGTAGAGAAACAAAGTACATCAACCTACTTTATTCTAGCTCATTCGATAACAACATGGAAACTTACCGTCATGTAAACAAATGCCGAGTTTTGCCTCCTTATTCAAATGCGGTGCAAGAAAATTGTGGTGAAAATAGTGATAAAGCAAAAAATTGAGAGAAAGTGGATAATGAGAGGAAAAAATAAAATAAAATAAAATTAGTAACAAAAAGAAAGGAAAAAGATAAAAGAAGTTATGGTGAGTGGAAGAGAAAAAAAAAATAAATAAAAATAAAGAATGAGACAGGCCGTGTGATAGATTGTGAAGAACGAGTGAGGAAAGCAAACTTTAGGAGAGAGCCAGAAAATAGAGAAATAATAAACCTTTTGTGATGTGCTTTTGGTGGTAGAAACGTTCTATTTACAATGTCACCCTATCAATAGCGATGGCCACCAGGACATCAAAGGTTGAATGTTAAGCGACGTTCCAAACATCTCTTGAAAAGTAGAGGTGTCAACTTGGTGGGGAAGTATGTAGTTTGAGAATTTATTTATTGATTAATTTCAAAAACTTTAATAAATTGGAGAAAAAAGAAAGGAAAAAAACACCGATCTCACAGCCACAAGCAAAGAAATACGAAATAAAGACATGGAAATAGAAATTCAAGATCGGTAATTTAAGAGCCTTTTTGGTAAAGTTTATATTCTTGTTTATGTTTCATACCTTTTATCTTCTTGTTTATGTTTCATTCATTTTTAATAATTAAAAAAATGAATTGTATGACCCAACATCTATGAATTCAAATATAATAAAACAATCTTTTTATTTATATTTAAAAAAAAAATTAAAAGAAACATGAAACAAAAAACTTGTTTAGATTGTTTTCAAAATTTGTATACAACTTTTATGAAAAAAAGAGAAACAAAAACCAAAAATGCTTAGATTTCTTAAAAAATTTTTGAATATTTTGAATGATTTCTTAAGAAAATTTTGAAGAAATATACCAAAAAGAAACTATCAAAGATAAAAAAGAGGTGAAGAAAGAGGTGAAGAAAGCCACACCAAATCATCACGATTCTAGTAAAGATGATAATGGACAAACTAGACATCTAATTCTAACAACAGAAATTAAAAACCACAATAATTTTCTTTTTGGCAAACCAATCCATAGTGATTCTAACCATTAGAAATCACAATCTGACCATCGCAGCTTAGAGGTTGTAACAATCCGGACGACTCCAATCCGGGGCATTATGATCCTACACTACATAATGTTATAGCCGAAAGGGCAGGCATTTATCAGCAAGAAACCAATCCAATATGAACACGCAAAAAGCAGGGAAGAAAACTAAATGGATTCAAAAGACATTAGATTGGATCCAAAAGTCAAATAATGGGATGTTGATTGCAAAGACTTATTGTTAAAACAGAATCCACTTTTCTGTGCATCTGAAACCAACCAGAGGTTTATACAGAGTTAAGAAAACGAACTCAGAGAGGAAGCTGCACCGAAGAATCCTGTTGTTATAAAGTAGAGCATCTTCTTCTTATTGTGCTGCAAAAGTCAACAAAATGCACACATTTTTCTCTCGTATCAACCAGAGGCCGTCTTCTTCTGCTGGAAGATGACTGCATAGATCGGAACGGCCACACCGATGCTGAAAGCAGTGAATACTCCGAGCGTCATGGTCAGCTTCTGATTCTTCATCCTGTCCAAGTTATACATGTGCTTTGCATGCAAATAGTAAGGCTCATCGTGGCCATGTGCGTGGCCTCCCATTCTCTTCGCACCAGTTGAGTGAAACCCTCTATTAGCTGTGGGGCATGGCATGACACACAACCATCATTTTTAGGATTTAATAACCTTGAAATATGGAAAAATTGGATAAACTATCACCATAACTAATCCAAATTACAAATTACAAGATTAGTAATAGATTTCTGAAGTTTAAAGTGTCGAATAATGTTTGAAGTTTAAAAGTCCCTTGATGTTCAATTTTATGAACTATTCGACATATATTAAGATTCATAGATTTATTAGATACAACATTGACTTTTGTGTCTAATAGGATCTTTGACCTTTTCACTTTGTGTCTTCATCAAATTTTAATAAAATAATAAATGAATGACCTATTCGATACAATGACTTATTAGACATAAACTTAAAAATTCAGATCTATTAGACACTTTAAAGGTTTAAGGACATATTAGACATAAAATTAAAAGTTTAAGGACCTCAACACGAGCAAAAGCTTGTTTTAAGTGGCAAAATTTTGCGACAGAACCAAGATCTGAAATCTCCTACAGAATTCCAGTGTGAAAGTTTACAGTATTCGTCTATAACTATCGGAAATTTGAAATATGTGAGAACATGATTTTTCATTGGAAGTAAACTTTGCACTGAACATAGAACGATTTCACATTCAACCTAATTGCATATCAGTGATCGCACATTTTGGGTGAAATATTAGTATGCAAATATGCTATCCACATCACCTTGCTAGCATCAGAATCATGAAGACATTAAAATATCTCAATTGGAGCAGGAGCACCAAGCAAAAATATCTTCCATGGATCATGAATCAATTCATGTAAAATGTACTACAATACAACTTCATACAACATTCTAACACAATATATCTAGCCTGACAATTGTTGAGAACATGGTTTCTTGAACTAACAAACCATTTCGTATTCTGTATTCTATGCATCCCTAATAAAAATGCTGTTTGAATTGCAAACATAGTATATTTGTTCATTTTAATTCGTTAATTAATTGCTTATATTTGAAAAAAATAGAAGGGAGAAAAACACGACATTTACAGATAAACCGAGAAAATTACTTTTATTGATTTTATGTACTAGCACATCAACCATTTTTCTTCAAGTTGAAAATGATGATATTGAAAAGGACCCAAACCATAAGTTTCGGAAAATGGGATTGGAGTTAGATTACTTGGACTGCAGGAGATATTAACCGAGAAAATTTTTGTTGGGCTTCAAATTGAGAAAGAAAATTGGAGGAAACGAGGCCATAAGTCTTGGAGAATAAATGAGGTAGGATAACTTGCACTGCACAAGAAATGGGTGAAGCAGGCTGTTTTATTAGTATAATCAACAAGAATGGCAAAAGCTAGCCCCCTTCATGATATATTGACGTTTTTATCATAGAAATAAAATTTTACATAAGTATTCTTTCTTAGCAACTTGTTCTCTTTTCAACTACATCTTTCTTTGCAGCGTTCTTTGCATTTGTCTGCTATGTATAACTTCGTTATTTGATTATCTTTTGCTGTCTTCTTCATTTGTTTTGATGAAATTCAGAAAAGGGAAAATCCCTTGCTTGGGGTTAAAAGGCCTCCAGCTCATCAGAAGAATCAAAGATCATTTGAACTGTAACTAGTAAAAGAGGAGAAAAAAATATTTACCCCAGCCAAGAGCCATAACCAAAACACCAAAAAAAAAAAAATGATAAGGTTGAAATTTGCTACGGAAGATCTTGTTGTTTGGATTGCATAGGGGCCTGCCATCCAAAGGTTGCTGCTGATAGGTTCCAAAATCTGCTAGCGAACTCACATGTTATGAATACGTGCCCATGTGATTCTGCATCTTCCTTGCACATGATGCACCAATTGGGGGAGATAGCAAGGTTTGGAACCTTTGTTAGATGTCTTGTGTGTTGATGGCTTTGTGAACAATCTCCCAACAAAAGAAATATATCATCTTGGATATTTGTCCCACCAAATTTTATCATAAAATATGGCATTGTGAGAAGCTCCAAAATCATGGATTTAACAGAAATAATTCGAGTCACAAGGCGATGTCCATTTGTCGTTCTATGGGGGAAAGGCACACTTGGATAATTTTCGAGCAAGGATGAGCCACTCTGTAAGGTCTTTCCTCCTTTATTTGTCTACAGAATGAGTAGGTCCCATAAGTTTGCAATGCTTGACCATGCTTTGCAAACCCCAGTATCCTTGGAGGTGGATAAAGCAAGGAAGCAAGGGGAATTCCTGACTAAGGGAGAGTTAAGACACCCATCAAATATACCAAAAGCAAAGATTAGTACCACTTCCAATTCTACAAGAAGCTCTACCTTTACATCAATCCATGAACTTTGAATCGGTGGGGCTAGGTTACTAGCCAAGAATTATGGTCTAATTCTCCATATTTACCTAAATGATTCTTTTGGATATGTACCATCTCCCAGTCCATTTTGTGAGGAGGGCTTGGTTTCTTCTCTTAATGTTGCCAATACCAAGGTCTCATTTGGATAACAGAAGGTGAACATTTTACCAATTAACTGGATGCACTTTGCCGTCTATATTGGGCCCTCCTAAAGGAAATTTCTGAAGATTTTCTTATGGTGTTTGGCTGCCATGACCGGAATGCTGAATAAGGATAAGTAATAAGTAGGCAAATTGGAGAGAACACCTTGGATGATTGTGAGTGTGCCTCCTTTATGTATGTAATGATGGATCCAGTTGAGCAGCTCACTCTCAACCTTTTCAATGATAAGAAGCAAAAGAGATTTGGAGCAGTACTTGTTGTTTACGAGAAGCCCCAAATAGGAATAAGGCTCAGAACCAACCTTGCAATATAAAAATATTAGCAACAGAGGAAAAACAGTGGTATCTTCCAGACCCAGGAATTTGCTATTTGCCATAATTTATGTCAAGTCCATAAGCTTTCTCAAATATATTAATAATGATTGAGAGATTCCAAATGTGTTTAGGATCCTTTCTTATCATCTGCAAGCAAATTGAAGATGGCTAATGCTATGGGTGTTGTTCCTTGAGTAGTATCCAACAATTAAACCAGTAATTGGTTCCTTGTATATGAGGTAATGAACAACTAAATTGAAGATAAATAGGGACACCCTGTCATCATCTTACCTCTAGGCTTGCTGTTGAATATGATGATGAAGTTTGCACTAGAAACACAAGCATAAATCCAATCGCTCCATTTCCCCCAAAACCTTCAGCTTTAATAATAGCATCTAGAAAATTCCAGTGAACTTTGTCAAATGCTTCCTCTAGATCAAGCTTATAAGATAACTCCTTTCCTTTTCCTCAATTTCCAATCATCATTGATTTCATTGGTAATGAGGGATGCATCCACAATTTGCTTCCCATTCATAAAAGAAAATTGGTAGTCCGTGATTGTGTGTGAGAGAACGTATTTTAGCCTTTCAAACAGCAATCTTGCCAATATTTTGTGTGCACAGGGGGATGAGACTAATGGGATTACAGTTTTGACATCCTCTTTTTTTGGAATGAGCCAGAAATAGATTCCACCAATGAGGCTAGCTTTATGATACCGTTTTGAAAGACCTTGGAACACTGCCATCCTGATGCTTTGAGATTTTTTTAAAAAATCCCACTGTGAAACCATTTCAACTAGGGTTTTTGTTAGAGCCCAGAATCACAAACCCTTGGAACCTCTTCTTCGGAGAAGTCTTTCTCCAATCATTGGCCGAGATCATCACCCTCGAGATCTCTTCTCCAAAGAAGTCTTTCTCCAATTGCTTGCTGAAATAATCAGGGATAATGCTCCAGTGAAGGTTTTTTGGAATAAACCTTGGGTCATTTTTTCTCGTGTATAATACTTGTAGAAGTTAATGAATTCTAATTTAATCTCTACATCAGACAGCAAGCTATATCCATGTCTGGAAAAATTTTCCATTCTTTTTGTTGGCTTTACTGTTCTTTTTCAGCCGATTCCTTTTTGTTATTATCACTCTTTTACAGTTAATTTTAGTTTGCTTATTTTTTATTAAAGATTTGATTGTTTCTCAATTTAAAACTGTTTGAGAGAATTGTTGGAAGTTAGACCATATGCAGAAATTGTAAAACGTAAGGTAATGTAAGGAACTAAATTGCTAGCTGATAAAGTAACAAAACCTGATTTCATCAACAATGATTCTGAAGACCTCAGCAGCTTTGCGCTGGACTTCACTCCATTGCTTAAGGACATTTTCTCTGCTTACAGTTACTTCTCCCTTCTCGCTTATTTGCTCAAGCAAGAGTTCCTATAAACGTAAGATAAGTTAAAAAAAATTAAAAAATAATTCTAAATGGCCAGTTGTGTGTGCAGAGAGTAGAGGAGCTCATTGTCACAGGAAACAAGAAAATTAAATGTTTAAAAATACGTTTTGCCAAAACTTGATTGCAAACTGTTCGTTTGGGATGTGGGCAGAAGCATCACAATTTTGGTAGGATTATGACGTATATACTCCACCATTTATAACCAGTAAAAGCTAATAAATAATCGAAAGCTTCATAGTGCCATAAGAAAATAAGAAAATGGAATCCATAGATTCTTCATCGTTGTTATCTGCTTTGTATAAATACAGAAAAATGTAAAGCAACCATCATAATTAAATTTCATATCACTGAAAGATGCAATTGGGAAATATATCCGAAACAAACGAGTAATCGAGAAGCAAATCCACAGATCTGGACGACCCAGCAAGGAAACTAAAAAATTCCATCAGAAACCAACAATGAAGATTTTATTAAATCGAAGACTTACGAGATGGAAAGCGTCAATAGCTTGAAATTGATCACGACAATAACAAAAAGAAAAAATATCGAGCGTAGGTTGAAAACCTAAGGCCGATCAAGAAATGAGAACAATCATGAAATTAGATTAAACAAGAAAGAAAATTCTAGGCTTACAGTGGAACAGCAGATCCTCAAGCTTTGGCTCAAGTTTACTTTTATGCCGATGGGATTTTGATGAACAGAAGGGACACCTTTTATACACACGTCACCAATTAGGGCAATTTTCGGCAAACCAGTTCAAAATTTGGGGAAAATGTTTCGTTTTTATCTCTATTACCACGTTGGTTCCTTGAATGTAGTTTTCTTTTGTTATTTTAGAAAAAAAAAAATTGGTAATTTTTACCTGGGTCTGCCATAAAAACATTTTAAAAAATCACTATTTTTCCGAACAAATAATAATGACAAAAGTATAAAATTAAAGTCACGTTCACTTACAATAATTGAGAAGAAAGTCAATTGTAATGTGAATGTTATTTCTTTGATGTTGTTTTTTGAAAATTTTCTTTAAAGCGAAATGAGAAACACATTGATATTATTTACTAAAACTGTCTGAAAACAGAATATAGATCAAATATATAACCATTACTAATATAATCTATTGAAGGGTAAAAATGGACTTGTCATGTGGAGAGCTAGGAAAGATCGGTATGTAAGGTCTTTTTCTCATAAACTTAGAGACATGATGTGGTCGACCTTGGCAACCAATAAACTCGATAAAACCTCACTTGGTTGAAGGAAATGTCCTGCTTCGACCTTAGAAACTCAACAGAGCGACCTTGAGCAACCGATTTCTTGACAGCACAACCGAACGGTTGAAGGTCATTATCACCTAACTCTCCATAAATAGAAGCATTTCATTCTGACTCCAGATATGCAATCAAGCTTGGTTTGAGCTTAAGATTATCTCTTTTACTGTTTGCTTCCTTTCTGTAGGTCTTTCTCACCAAGCTCGCTCCTAAACTTAACTATACCCTATTTGACCAATTCTCGAGTCATATAAGAAAACACTACAAACAGTTGGTGTCAGCTATGGGAAAAGACAAAAACAAGTCATTTCTTACCCAAGCTATGACTCATACTGATTCGCACAACTCTAGTACTCGAAGCAATCGGGATGGCCAACTAGTTCTACACCCGCAAGATCCTCTTGCTGCATGCACTTCGAAGGACACACCTCCTACCCCATGAATATAGGAGTTTGGACCCGCCAAACTTCAGCTTCAAGAAATGACCTTCCTCTAGCAAGAGGACGGCTATTGACTCATGGTGCTCATGGGGGAAATGGGACAACATGTTAAACTAGACAAAATATTAATCGCCTAGTGGATCCCGACGTGTTTGCAATCATGCGAGCTGAGATGAATGATATGAGGATCCGAATGGAGGCAATGAAGCAGACCTCTCAATATCTCGAACAAGCCACGATGGTTCAGAACTCACGAAAACACGATCCACGAAAAGGGAAAGATCCTATTGATCAAATCCTTCCTAAAGAAGTAGCTCATGGTGGTCGAGCTAATGAAAGACTTAATCTCCCATATTCTCTTCAACTTTCTTTTCTTTTCTTTTTTTTCTAATTTATTCTCTCTCTAAAATGGAACTTAGAATATAAATAGTTTGTGGCTGTGTCTTTTTAGTTTTTAATTTTACAAAAGTTACTTTACTTGGTTGAGCAGGGTGGATCTTTATGGTGGCATTTAATAATTTTTCTTTTCCTTTTTACTTAAACAAAAAATAGTTGAATGACTGATTTACCTCCAAAATTGAATTGAAAAGAAAGGGCAGTAAAAGAAAGTTTCCTTTTATCTTAACTTTTATATATACTATAGATATTGTTTTTTATTATTAAAATTCGATGAGAATCTCAATAATGTTTTTAACTTAACATGATTAATTTTTATTTTATAACATAAATATTAAAAATATATTTTTAGTCGTTGAGGTTTGAAGTAGGTGTCTATTTGGTCCTTGCAGTTTCAAAAAAGAAATTTTTGGTCGATGAAGTTTGAGAAATAGTTCTAAATGATCTTTTAACCGTTAGTTGACTAACAAAAAGTTAATTTGGAGGTTAAGTTTTGTTGACTCGGAAAATTTCTAGTCATCCCTATAGAAAACTTCCATACTACCTCCATTTAAGGTGTGCCATCGGTAAACTATCTTTATTGTTATAAAAATATAAAATATATGTTTTTTATGTGGGGCCCAGCATATATTTAGAAGCAATATTACTCCGCCGTGTCTTACTTTCTCTTTTGATTTAATGGTATATTCTCGGTCCTATTAATTACTATTTTATGTGATTATTTATTTTTACTTTTTTAATTTATTTTCCTCTTTATTGTTTTTTACATCTTCATTTGCTTCTCTCATTCTCCATTTTTATTTCTTGAATCTTTCTCCTTTCAAGTTGAATTTTTTCAGTTTTTTTTTCTTATAGAAGGTTTAAACTTCAATGATTTGTAACTCACCATATACACATATATGATTTTTCTATGTATCTTTCCTTTTTCTTGTTTTTTTTTAATAAGAAAAGCTTCAAAGAAACTAACAGATATTCAAACTCGCCAGATTAGACAGCCAATTAGGGATACAAAATTCCCAATTCTCACTTTCCATCCTTTCAGAGGCCTTTTGCGCAAGTGAATGGACACAGAATTGGCCTCCCTATCCACTTTAATAAATGAAATAATCCCACACGAATTTCGCAGCTACAGGATTTCAACGACAACCCACAAAATCTCGGTGAGGTTTTCATTGTCTTCTCGCAATAGCAACACCACTTCGAAGAGTCTATTTCCACTCGAATCGGGTATGACGAGCGAAAACTCAAACTCTAAATTCCCTCTAGAACTGCCTCAACCTCTAGCATCTTGACGCTTGTTCGATGATCCACGAATTTACTTCCGACGAGGATAATTTCTCCTCCCAGTCCTGCAGCACTTATAACTCCCCATTAGAGAGTGTTTTATGGGCTATTTGGGACATTTAGTGTGCGGAAATGTGAGGATCCTTATCAATAAACTCAGGACAATGTGAGAATTCATTGAGTGGATCCCAACCTGTTATAATTCTTAAATTTCTTTATTTTAATTATTTATGCTAAATTGTGGATGGCTTATGCAGATGGTAGAATTTGGCTAAGGACAAGAGGAGTGCTGCTAAGATCGTGGGGATTATGCTGGAGCGTTGTAGACGAGGCGTTAATGCTGGAGCCTATAGTCACTTTAATGCTGGAGCCTATAGTCAGTCGGATGCCCCAGCGCGTATGACAGTGTAGTAACTCATTGGGCTTAAAATTGTTAGCGCGTCCATACAGCCTCCAAAGGGTGCCCTAAATTTTAAGGACCTGGTATATAAGGAAAAGGTGCGCTAGCCGCAAACCAGAGAGACATTTTTTTATTCAATTTTGGGTAGCATAGATTTCAGGGAACATCCCCCTTTGACATCAGTTGTTTTTCATCGAAGAAGGAGCTGGAGAGTGTTCTGTCTTATGGGTCGCACTGTACACCTGAGGAAGCTTCTTATTCGCTGTCATCTTCATCAATGATGAAATCTTCTTATGTCTTTTCTATTTCTTTTATCTTTTTCATTATGAACTAAACCCCCGTCTTCCGGGAGGGGGGGGGTCACGCTTGCTATAATATTCATGGTTGCTATGTTTTAGAACTTTAAAAACTGATTTAATAGAAGTGTGCTCATTTTCCGTCTCACTAAATTCGGATGACCAACTTGTTTAGTGTATTAGCTCACTTGAGGCTCAGGAGAGTCCTTGTTGAGTGGATTTACTTCTATTAGCTATAGTCTCCTCTTCGTAAGTAGGAAGGTGAATACTCATAAATGGGGTTCACTCTATTGCACCTATAGATTGATTGAATTGCTTGTTTTAATCACGGCGGAAGTTGGGTTAAAGCATGTGTTGGGTATCTCAGGAGAGAACCGCGAATGTCTGGGTAATCAGTGTTTTAGAGTAATTTTAGATAGCTAACTTAGAGAAAAGCAGCAAGTGGAACTCCCCTCCCCGATTTATCAACAAATCATAGCCTCACATCATTTTTGTGTTTTCTGAGCAGATGCTCCTGGGTGTGAACTGAAATTTTATCTCTCGTTTACTTGTTTTCTTTTATGCCTTTTAGATATAACAAAACAAATCAAAGCATTTTTTTTTATTTAACCTTTGGTCTTTCGAAGTTCCTAAATAAATTTATAGCCTATTTCCCTGAGGAGACGACCTTGTTAATATACTACAACGGGTAAATTAGTGTATACTTGCACTATATTTCCTAGTTGTGAAGGTAACGAACAAGTTTTTGGTGCCATTGCCGGGAAAATATATTTTATAAATTGATTTTGTTATTTCGAAGTACGGTGCCTAAAGAGTCCCTCCATTTTTATGTTTCAGGTAAGTTGTGCAGTGAGTGAACGATTTTCCTACATTTTAATTTACATTTGACCCAGAACCAGAGTGTACATTAAGACGGAGAAGGGTCGAACAGTGGCTACAGTGTAGAGGAGTAGCCATGAATCCGGACACACCAGTTCGACTTGAACAGGATCTGGAGATAATAGAAGGGGTTAGGGCTGGAGCTACTGTACCAGTACCTCCCTTGAACGCTGTCCTGCTTGCAAATGACATAGAGCAGAAAATTAAAGCTTCTGCGACTCCAGCCTTCTATGACTTCAATCCCGTGATAGCAGATCCAATAATTGAAGTTGATAGATTTGAGCTGAAGTCGACAATGTTTCAAATACTCCAGACTGTGGGACCATTCTATGGATTGGCATCAGAAGACCCTCATAGTTATTCCCCTACTCTTTAAGGGATATTACTGGAGCATGTTTGGATTCCCTACCAGCTGAATCAATCACATCATGAAATGATTTAGCAGAAAATTTTTTGATGCAATATTTCCCACCTTCCAAGAATGTAGAACTGCGGAGCAAAATCAATAATTTTCAGCAACTTCCTGGAGAATCTCTAAGTGAATCATGGGAGAGATTCAAGGGATTGCTTCAGAAGTATTCTCATCATGGAATATTATGCTGTATATAAATAGAAACTTATTATAATGGGATGAGTGAGGCTACTCAGTTGATGATAGACGCCTCGGCAAATGAGACTTTATTG